ATATATAATCTGAGAACCTCCATCCTAATGAGCTGGTTGTCCTTATTCAGAGGATTTTTATCTTTTTTATTTTATATATTTCTTGTTTTACATAAAATATATACATGACTAAAGCCAGTTCTGTTAGCCATGACATTAATGTGCAGAAAAACTAAGCTGCTGCTTATTTCATGCTTCGCAACTGTCTGAAATGTGGCGTTTATTAGTTTTCTCAATGGGTACAACTACCACTGGTAGTACTCAGGATCCCTCTAGTGGTACTCAGAAGACATTWATATATCTTCCATTTCTGGGTTCAGGTTGGATTGAGTTTTAATATTATTCCATAAACGTRTAATTTTATTCTTGTTTCATGTTAGGGTGGCAATAACAAACAGTAAAAGTCTATTTAGTCTTTATCTGGTTTTATGGGTGGGGGACCTGTCCAGAGTGTACCCCACCTCTCAACTCCCAACCTTTTGCAGATACACACCTGCTCCCTGTAACCCTGTAAACACAATGGATGCCTGGACAACAATTCACAGTCAWGCAGACTGTGAATTAAAGCTAAAATGTTAAATAAGTGWAAAAGGTGGATGTTTTAATCAAATCTGGATTTTATCTCTAAATGAAAACCACTTGAAATAAAAGTGGTTAACCATGGAGATGTCTAAAGGACTTCGATGCTACAAAAAAGCAAAAAAAAGGAGAAAATCTGCTTCGTTATGACCCCTGCATGCAGAGTCTTATTGTTTTGTACTGTTTGTTTGTCCAGTACAAAAAATAGTCAAATAAAAAGATTGTTTAGGTTATACAGTCATTTAAGGAGAACATACTATAATGCAGCTACAACTGGTCTTCCTTAACAGAGGGCAACTTTGACTTATCATGGTCAAAGGTTTTCTATATCACTCCTGTATTGGTTTTACAGCACCAGTATAAAACCTGTATTTGGTTTTATTCCCAGGTGGTCAACCATCCAACTACTAACCAKGCCTGAGACGAGATCTGGTGTGATCAGGGTGGTACGGCCACAACGTTGTGCAAAACCCATTTTTTAACCATTAAATGTATTTTGTTGTATGAGTCTCTAGGAAGCAGAAAAGTTTAATTTAGTCTCTCCTGGTGCTGCATGGATATCTTTATATTCTGTTTGGGTCATATTTATCAACCTGTTAAGTTTTCTCTATTTTTATGATGTTTTCTGAACTATTGTATCACAGTATTTGTGACAGAACTTCTAAATAATGTCTGAACTTACCAACATCCACCCCCAAACCCTACTCCCAGACCTGGACATGCTGTAAAATCGAATTCAGTTTACCATGGACCATCACAGGCCACACTCAAAATGTTTTTGAATATTGTATTTGAAAAACTTGAAACTGTTATGTAGAAAAATCCTATTGACACACAAAACAAGGCACATAAATACAGTATACCATAAATATAAAACCAATTGCATGAAACAAATCAAAATAAAACTACTACTACTTCTACTACTACAACAACAACAACAACAACAACAACAACAACTAATACTACAAAATGATCATTAATATAGACAACAATCCAGTTAAAAAAGGCATTTCTAAATTTCACCAATAGAATAACATTTAGGAAAATAAACCAATCAACCAAATGTCACTGTTAACTGTCAAAGAAGATTTGAATGACAGTTTACACTAATGCACTTATAGAAACACAAACTAAATTGCACAACTGTTATGCAAAACCTTACCCTTCTTTACATAAGTGAATCTACACTTTACTTTAATTAATGGTGATTTACTTAATGAACTAACTAATCCTCATAGCCCAGCAAGGGAGACAAGAATCTACGGCCAGGCAGTCCCTCCTCTCCTCTTCTTTCACAGACGTGTCGTTCAGCAGCCAGCTGGAAAGAAAGAAATTAAGCAATAATAAAATACAACTGTTTTGAATCCCTCACGTACTGTGCTGCAGACAAGAAACACCCCACGTGTCAACCTTGACAAGACACTGTGGTCATCTGTCCATATCGRCCATATCAGAAACCACTACTTTGAGTTGACATCTTTTTTTTAATAAATGTTTCTGTGCAGCTATATAGTCGTAAACCCCTCTGTCAAACTGGGCCGCTCTGGAAGCTGGAGGGGACGGAGCGTTTAGTGCCTTGTTTGGATTTAAGAAGAGGGCCTCAAAACGAGTTGATCTGAGACATACCTCAGAAAAGGGGTGAAAGAGGGGCTTGTGGAGTTACACTAAGGACAAATTCAGACCACAGACCTAATGTTTTTAGATTTTGCTTGATGAAAAACATCTATAATTTATATTTGCTGTATGGTCTTCAGGCTGAACAAATACAATAGGCTACTTGCATGAATCAACACAGCATCAGTCTTCTACACAGCTTAAATGGCTCAAAATTAAATGGTAAATGGCTTAAACTTATAAAGCACCTTTAAGTCCACACGAACTCCAAAGTGCTTTACACTTCAGATATTTACCCATCCATATACAGATGATGGTAAGCTACACTGTAGCCACAGCTGGCCTGGGGCACACTGACAGAGGTGGGGCTGCCATGCACCKGCAACCACTTCTGACCATCATCAGTGGACAAGGTGGGTGGTGTCTTGCCCAAGGACACAACTGACACAGCTGGAATGGAGACTGACATCACTGACCACTCTGCCACAGCCATCGTTTATAAATAAACCGTTTCTTCATGTTACAAAATACTAAACCCCTCAAGCCAGTGATGTGCAGATCGATACTGAAATATCGATGCTGCCGATACCAGAACTGTGTTCTAGAATCGATAATAAAATCAAAATATAGATACTTTGATACTTTAGTTATTTCAAATAATGTAGATCGTTAACAGAAAAATAACTTAACTATTCCAATCTTGTCTTAAACACGTGGTTGGAGGGAACTACTTTTTCTTCCGCTTGGGTAATGCACTGTATAAGCACAGTGGCACGTGCTCCATCAGTCAGTTCATGTATGGCAGGTCATTTTAACATAAAATCTGCTTCTTCTGACTGTAATTAGATGAGGGCCCCTCAAACAGCATTAGCTCTGGCCAGATACCTTCTTGCAAACACACAATGCTACAAAATATACAAAGTAATAACTTAAAATATCTCTTTTATTCACTATTCAAAAATTATCATATTTCTTAAGGATAAGAATATTAAATTGTGCTAAACAAATGTAAGATTAGGGTTAGAAAGACTTTGAATGATTTCAATTGCTCACTTCTCTTGAAAACATGACTTTTCCACATCAAAGACAGATTAAATATCTGAGGAAAGTGGGACAGATTATAATTTAAAGCAATGTTACKCTTTCATTTAAACATTTTATGAAGGTTTTAGAAGTGCTTTCAATTTGCTTATGAAAAAAAAGTATGTAATTTAAGAATTTGCATGTCATCACCTCATTCTGCTGACTGAACTGCAGATGGCGCCAGAGGACAAGACACTCTCTACTCTCATCAGCTCATTTTGTTCATAAAAGGAATTCAACTTTTCAAAAAACATTTTCTACCAGGCTTATTCAGCATCTGGACATATGAAAATATATTCTCTCCAGTTGGTCAAATGCAAACATACTTAAAATTTGTTTACTTACAGCAACTTTAGTTTATTAAGACATTCATACAATTCTAGAGGAAGAGGAATTCTGAGGACTTTAGGAGTGGAAATGGAAATATACTCTGTGGGGGTAAAACGTCACCAAAAAAACAAACAAACGAACAAATAAACGAACAGCCAAATCACTGAAGAACTCTAATATAGCAAAGTGGGTTTAAAAACATATGGTACATTTAAATTAAGTACATTCACAAAAGAAACAAAAGCAAGTGAATCTACAATGTAACATGACAAATGCCTCTATTAAACAGGCCCACAAGACATCGCACGCGTTAGCATAATGTAATTTGCAGACTTTATACAGCACTTRTACCGTTTAGTCCACAAGTATATTACTAAACGGTGGAGAACATCAAATACACTCATCTTATTTAAACATGAAAAGAAATGCCTGATGAGGACTTTAAAGTTTACAGACCCCATGGCTTTGTAGCCCCAACCAGCCAGCCACCAAGGTTAGAATCTACAACTGTCCAGGAGGGACCGCACAAGTCACCTCGCTTTAATGCACACCAAAATTCTGATCCAAAGTTTAGCATTGAGAAGGATTTTCCCCCCTCGAATAATATAAGAACAATGGCAAGTGGACGATCGCTATCACAGCGTAAAAAAAAGAAAAGAAAAGATATTCTCGGGGCTCAAATCAGGTCGGCCACATTCATGGGCATCTCCTCCACGGTTGTGTTGTAAAATGTCTCGATGTCCCGAAGAATCCTCTTGTCTTCCTCGGTGACGAAGTTGATGGCAACGCCTTTTCTGCCAAAACGGCCTCCACGTCCAATTCTGCAGAGACGAGATGTGTTGGTCTCAAGCAGAGGAGCATTATGTTTGAGAACACACCAGACCTACCTATGGATGTAGTTTTCACGGTTTGTAGGAAGGTCATAGTTGATGACCAGGGAAACCTGCTGCACATCGATTCCTCGAGCCTTAAAAAGAAGGAGGTTTATTATTCTTTAACTGTTAGAATGTAATTTACTCTAATTGGTAATGCTGCACCTCAGCAAGAGACATTCAGAAAKTTAAAGACCTTTAACCCCTTTTTTGTTTGGATTTAGACTTTTGTTTGAATGGTTTCATCTGTTTTATGATGAAAAAAAAAAAACATATTTTGCACATCGAAATGAAGTTTTTAGCAGTGGTGGGCAGCACTAACCTAAAAATTAGTTCTACTAGCCCTAAAACACTAACTCGAATATTTAGGTCCCCTAATTCTGAAGCACTGAAATTTTTATCAAAAGTTAATTCTGAAGCACTAAAATAACAGTCAACCCATGAACATTCATCAACAGACAACGAGTCAAATATTACCATGTTGCTCTCTTAAGACTTATCATTGACATCCCACAGCTGGATTTGGGTTCATTTGTCACCTGGTGGATCAGTGACACATATGAACGACAGCTTTCACTGTCAGCTGTTAACATTAATGTTGATCAACAACATTTATAGACCTCAGTTAGTGCTTCTAAATTTAGCAAGTGTTAATACACTAATACATTTTATAATTAGCAAAAGCACTAATCAAAAAATTAGTTCCCCTATTCCAGCTTTAGGGGAACTGTGCCCACCACTCGTTTTTTGTAAACTCATCTCTTCATGTGTAAATGAGTCAGATGAAGTTATGAGCTGATGTAAGCTTGCTCCTTTCAGTTCTGATTAGGCATGGGACGGCATGAAATTATGACGGTATGATAACCTTGGGCAAAAATATCACGGTTTCGCGGTATGACGGTATTATAATTACAGCTCTAAAAATTTTGTTTTGAAATTTGTATTTAAAAAACAAAAATAACTTTTCTATTATCATATTCAACTTTAACTTTGGAAGCTGTTTTTATATCTCAGAGGTGTTATGCTGAAATTTTATTTACCTGTGTACATCTGTACTTCATTGATTTTTAGCACCTAATGTAATTAGTCTATCCTGATAAACAGACTACTTCTGCAACAAATTTAAATTTTAAGTTCCAATTTCAAAATGCATTCTGCATTTTCTGTGTTGCAGAAATTATTGGTCCAGTGTTTAACTCCAGATGATCTTATGTAGCTTTTATTTGATACTAACCAGAAGATCAGTAGTGATCAACACTCTGCTTGAGCCAGATCGAAACTCTCTCATGATCACGTCACGCTCCTTCTGATCCATATCACCATGCTGTGGAGGAGGGGAAGAATATGATAACTGTAGCATCATCGTCACAAAGCTTAGCAGCAAACTGTTCATTAGCATAAAAAACGTGTTGTACCAGAGCAGAGACAGTGAAGTCTCGAGCGTGCATTTTCTCCGTCAACCAGTCGACTTTTCTCCTGGTGTTGAGGAAAATCACAGCTTGAGTGATGGTCAGAGTTTCGTACAGATCACACAGGGTGTCCAGCTTCCACTCCTACAAACATACAACAGRGTTAATCCTGTGAACACTGGACAAGCCAAACATGTAACCAGGATTTCTAAAGAATCTTTTAACCACAGTGTGTGTCACACAGGATTTTGAGACTAAAGAAAACAGACATTAAGAAAGAGGCCCMTCCCAGTCTCATTTGCAATCCTGTATATTTAGTCTGCTTCCCTGGTGTACCCATGCTTACACGGCCACATGAGCTGARCCCGAGGCTCGGCTCCTGCAGTTTCAGCAGGGTGCTTTAAAGAGAAGTCTGTTTGCAGCACATGACCACGTGTATCTGAGCTTGATGAGGAGAGCTATTAATGTGCTAACTAACCTCTCTCTCAACATTTATGTAGAACTGCTTGATACCCTCCAGAGTCAGCTCCTCTTTCTTCACCAAGATTCGAACGGGGTCCCGCATGAATTTCTTCGTCACCTCCAACACATCGGCGGGCATCGTGGCTGAGAGCAGGACCACCTGAAGAAACAGCAACAGATGAACACAAAACACACTTTCAAAATAAAGCTTTAAAGTCCTGTTTATGTTGTAAGCGCTTCACCTTGAGAGTATGGCTAATGAACATTAAGAAAGAGGTTCAGCCACATCTCATGTTCAGTGCAGCGCTCATTAATCTCCTTCTGCGCCATACTCTGCTAGCATTATTGCACAAAACAGAAAATCTGAATCATACAATTATAGCAGACTTCTGTAAATGCAGAAGACCATGGCTCATGTGCTACATTTATTCTGCCAAAAGCACATACCTGAATGTTTGTGCTCAGCTTCTGGAAGATCTCATAGATCTGATCTTTGAACCCTCGACTCAACATCTCATCAGCCTCATCCAGAACAAACATCTTGATATACTTCGGGGCTGCAGAGAAAAGTGGACCAAGGTTAAACAGGTTTGGCTGCATTCACATCAATCTGCCCCAGGGCTCTAGAGCGYGACCAATTTGGTCACAAATGCAACCTGATTTCCTAATGGTGCGACTAAAAAAAAATGTCCGGTCGCACTGGTGTGACTAATCGTTCGAGGGGGAGGAGGAGGGTCGCCCGCTGAAAAAAAAAGTTTCCATGTTCCATAAAAAAAYAAYCCAGCAGTATCAATGGTCGCCCACAGACAGTCTCATCTCTCCTAATAAAACTGCGCTCTGCTCGCRKGCTCCACTCCACACCTCCCGCACACACACGTTTGTTGTTCTATCCTCATGGGGACTTTGCACTGGCTTCCATTCATTTCCAACAATTCTATAGCCAACCATAACCTCCCAGGTAGACTACACACCTGACCTAAACCCTAGCCTCACCAGGCTGTGTGTACCGGGGAAATGGTCAATAATTGTACCCCCCATGAAGCAAAAACCTGTACACACACACACACACAGCGAAACAACCGGAGTTTTTTTTTCTCCCCCCCAGATCGGGGTCTGAAAAACATTTCTTTCTCGTTAGCTGGAGATGAAAACAAGATGTGGACGGTTGCTCGCTCTTTAGTCCATCTTGTTAATTTAACAGTCGGGGTCTGAGCACTGCAGATCATTTCAGCAGCATGAAGAAGCTCACGTGTATGGCAGGCCACTTTTGCACTTAATCGACTTCACAACAGTTACATTCCAAGTATCTGAAATAGGTTCTTCTGGGTCTCAGGAGGATAAAACTAAACATATTAGATATTTAAGTGAAATAAAATAAGATAATAAGATTCAACTAATGCTAATGAAATTGCAGACTTATGTGTTATTATTTAAAAAAATCTGCACAACCTTTTAATAAATATCAGTAATATTTCTGTTATTAATCATTCTCTTTTCATCATTTTTGTTTATCCAAAGCCAAAGATCCATAGGGTCAAACTACAGGAGTTGTCCATCTGACGGACTTGTGTCTAAAAGAAATTTAATCATGAAATGTTTAAGATGTTTATAAGACATTCAGCTCTTAAACATTTGCACTTAGAATTTTATAGAATCACTTTAAGTACTTTTCAGTAAGTTATAGGTCTTGTACAATTCTGGTTCAAATAAAGAACTATGTTTACTGAAYTGTTAACTAATTATTTCTGAGTTAGTGTTGCCTTAATGAACAGTGATTAAAAAAAATAACCTGYAAAACTCTGATGTTAAATGTGACGTGGTTGAAAATTTGGGTGCACCTAACTTTTGTGCTGGTGCGCCTAAGAAAAAATGTTAGGTGCACCAGTGCAACCGGTGCAATAAGTTATTCTAGAGCCCTGTGCCCAACACAACCAGCAGCACTTACACAGATGTCTCCTGTTCAGCATGTCATACACACGGCCTGGTGTGCCCACCACTATGTGAGGGGCTTCAGCCTGGAACTTCTGAATTTCACTGCGGAGATTGGTCCCTCCGATGCAGGCATGGCAGCTTGCCCCCATGTAGTCACCCAGAGCCAGAATTACTTTCTGGATCTGAAGGAAACAAATGGGATGGCAGTTCAGAACAGCACCAATAGATATGTTCACATACATACATACTGAGGACAGGAAAAACTGTTTAACGTGATCAGTAAAACAAAAAGGAACTCTCCACAACAAAGGTCAGTCCCGAAAGATGGTAAACATCATTTCACACAGTTTTCCTGAACATGTAAAAAGTATTCAATCAAACCAGATCATCTTTTAGACCAATGCAGCCACGGGCAGAGACTACACCAACCAAAAGACTGTTAGTAAACAAAGAATTTTGACAAGTTTGTAAAAGATTGTACCTTCTTTTCTGAACAGTGTCGTCAGTATGCAGCCTAGGCCTGAGACACTGTTGAGGTTATGACCTCAGGAACAGCATACCTGCTGAGCCAGCTCTCTGGTAGGAGCCAGAACCAGAGCCTGAGTCTCCTTCTGCTCAATGTCCAGCTGCTGCAAGATAGAGATGGCAAATGTGGCTGTCTTGCCAGTGCCTGACTGGGCTTGGGCAATGACATCATAGCCTAACAGCAAGAAAATGATTAAAAACAAAATGTAAAAACCACTGACTCTGTACAACAGTTTAACAGCTCTTAATGTGCTTAACTGTAGCTGTCTGACRTTACTGAGTGATCAGGGATAGAGTAAAAAATATCATCATTTTTGGGTAAGTCCCGAAAGATGGTAAACATCATTTCACTCAGATCACAAAAAAAAAAAAAAAAAAACAGTTTAACTTTATGTACCTTTGATGCAAGGAATGATTGCCCTCTGCTGAATGGCAGATGGCTTTTCAAAACCATAAGCGTATATTCCCCTGAGAAGAGACTCTTTCAGGTTCATGTCATCAAAGTTGTCAGTAATCTCATTCCAGTTGCTCTGTGAAGAACAACCACATTAGAAGGAACTCTGACCATTATCAGCCTCATCTTTGCAGCAGTACTCAAATTTTACATTTACCTCAATGACACCATCAGGCTCCATCCCTTCTGGCCCTCCATGGTCTCTATCTCTTGAGCTGTTGAGAAAAAAGGGTTAGAGACCATCAAATTTAGACATCTTTTTTTACTGCAACAATTTGTAAAAAAATTAACCTTCACCTTTACACATTCATGTTTTGAAGGTTTGTTTCCATTTTTWAATTAACCTAAATAAATGAATTCTTTATTACACGAATACAAGGGTCTGAGTTCATTTGTACTCAGGAATAAAAAGCCACAGGACTACTTATTGGACTGAACAGAAAAATGTTCATATTCTCAAATTATGCAACTAAATTACACGTGTCAGTAGGGTAGGGCAATATTGGCAAAGTAATTAATCACGATTAATTGTGGTATTTAGCTGATAACGATTATTTTGACGATTAATCCCCTGGAGTCTCTGGACACCCTTGTGTCCTAGTCACACGACCAGTTTAGTGGGAAAGATTTGCTCTTCGTAAAAATCTGTTCCAAATTGTGTCAAAATAACAGACTTCAGGCAATACAGGAAACTTTAAATTTTGTTGATAAATAAAAAAAAATTACAGAACTTTTTTTTAATGTTCATCATATTTGAAGTGGAGAGGAGCACCGAGCAGACTAACTGGAGGAATCCCCAGTCAGTCTGCCTGGTGGCATTAATCGTATTAATCGTCAAGTGTAAAAAGTAATCGATTAATGTTTTTCTGACGATTAATTGCACACAATATGATTATGCCCAACCCAATATGTCAGTGGTAAATACGAACACAACTCTTTTATAAAGTAAACTTAATGTTTTTCAACTCATTTCTGGCATCAAATGRAAACCTTTGCTGTAGGGCTGCAACGATTAATCGACAACTAATCGATTGCTAAAATAACAGATGACTAATTTAATAATCGAATAATCGTTTTCTTTTTCTGTTCTTTAGTTTTTCTCTCCAAACTGCTTTGACAGCTTCCACTGCCACATCTGCCTTTCTGTCCTTGACACACATGTACAGTAGTGGTAACTGGGGTAGGC